GTCTTTGTGTGTGTGTGTATGTATGTATGTATGTGTGTCTATATATGTGTGTGTGTCTGTCAGGGTGTGGAGGAGGGAAAGGGGCCCATGGATCAGTTTTGCACCGGGGCCCAATAGATTATGTGAACGCCACTGCCTCCAGCAGAGATCTGAAGCTCCCGGCTTCATGTGTTCCAGTTTCGTGGGCACCAGATACCATCGATAGAGTATTTTCTTGGTCAATTCAATGTGTGCTGTGCATAATGTGAATTTTTAATTTGCTAGGTAAATTTTGGACCACTGTGTATTATCTAGTGTTTTCTTGAAATCCGTCTCCCAGGCTTTAACAAAGGGGGTTTTCCGGTGCCCTGCCTACGTGTGTCAACTGTGTAGAGTGGGGAAATGAGTTTGGTGGGGGTTGTCTGTTGAATGCAAAGGTTTTTCAAGTCCGACATCTGGTGCCCATTTACGAGGTCAGCCTTTTGAGCTACCTGCCTTTCATGCCAGGATTGTGTCTGCAGTTAGGGAAAAGGAGCTGCATCTGGTAGACCATATAGGGTCTGGAGATGTGCAAATGTGTGTATGCTTTGAGCGTGTATCAGTTGGTGGAGGTGAGTGATTCTGTGCATGAACCACACCGCTTCCGGAAAGTCGGGTAGAAGGGTCGCGACGGCTGTCAGTGGCATTGCTAGGGAAATAGAGCTGTTTGTGTGAGGTGTAGCATGGTGTGCATCCCACACCGATAAGGTTAGAGACGTCATAGGCAACATGTGTCTGAGATGTCGTGGGAGCCATGCTAAGGTAGTAAGGTCCTGTCCTGCCGTATACGTGGTTTCTATGTTTAACCAGGCCAGTTGGACTTTGTGATGATGGGCCATAATCAGTGGGTTTAGTTGGGATGCTACGTAGTACCTAGTGAGGTTGGGAACACCTACTCTAAAAGATCTGTAAAGCACTTTGGCTGCCACCTTGGGTCGCTTGTTGTCCCAGATATAATCATTAAGCATTTTTTTCAGATATAGTTACATAGTTACATAGTTACATAGCTGAAAAGAGACTTGCGTCCATCAAGTTCAGCCTACCTCACATTTGTTTTTTGCTGTTGATCCAAAAGAAGGCAAAAAAAAACAGATATGGTGGCGGCAGTTTGATAGGCAACGTGTGAAACAGATATTGCAGCTTAGGATGGAGGATCATTTTTACGGCTGCTATGCAGCCTATCCAGGACACATATTTTGCCTTCCAGGTCAGCAGTTGATGTTTGACATCTTTGGATAATTTAGTGTAATTAACCAGGAATAAAGTCTGGGTTTGGGCTGGGAATTCTATGCATAGAAAGGTGAGGCTATTATTGTCCCACAGGTATGCATACTCAGCTTTCAGCCCATGCAGCAATGTGTTGGGCAAATTAAGGTGCATTGCTTTTGTTTTGGTTATGTTTAGCTTATAATATGAGCAGGCACTAAGGTCTGTGTCACGGTGGCGGTCCGGTGCCCGGGACCCAGACACTGTCTGGGCGGCGGTGAATGGACCGGGACCCATTATGCCTGATGAGAAGTGGGAGTCTTCAGCGTGGAAGTGGGTTATCAGGGCATGTTGCAGGGCAACCGCACGCCCCCTGGTGTTGAGCACCAGCATTTGTGCAGCCACATACCAGAACCCTGATCCAGAGTACTGGATACCAGAATGTAGAGCAGGGGAGACAGGGGGCACCCTTGTCTTGTTCCGTTCATGATTGGGAACTCGAAGGACTGAAACCTGCTGTTGGCTACCTTGGCAGATGGGGCTGAGTATAATACCGACACCAAGGACATGAGGTTTGGAGGGAATTGGAATCTTTCAAGGACAACTGTGAGGAAACACCAGTGCAGCCGATCAAAGGCTTTTTCAGCATCCAAGGAGAGGAATGCGCCGGGCTTCCCTACACTGTGTGCACCATGTAGGAGATTGAGCAGTTTCCTCATTCCGTCCACTCCTTGTCTGCCTGCCAGGAACCCCACTAAGTCCTCGTGTATCAATGTGGGGAGCATGGATGACAGTTTGTTGGCATAAATTTTAGCTAGGAGCTTCATGTGTGTTTAATAGGAATATGGATCTCATATTTTGGAGGTTTTCCTGGTTTTGGTAAGGTTACAATGTGGGCTAGAAGCATTTCTGGGGTATTCGGCCCACATTTATAATATGGTTAAGCGTGGTTAAAAGATGGGGGGCTAGGAGGCCACAGAAGGTTTTGTAATAGTAATTTGTTAAGGGGATTTCCCTGACGAAATGGTTTTGGTGATGTGAGTGAGTTCCTGCAGTGTAATTGGGGCTTGTAGGGATTCACGTTGTTGCGAGGAAAGCGAGGGAAGTGTGGTCCACGAGTGGAAGTTTTGTATTTTAAGATTTTAAGGTTCGTTGGTTGGTGTGTGCTTGGGTCATTTCGTAAGTTATATAGTGTTGTGTTATATTTTTCCATGGTGTTGTTTATCTCCCGCGGGCTAAACACTTTGGTGCCATTCAGTAAAATTAAGTAAGGGATTTTGGACTGGCTCTGTTTGTAGCATAACAGTGAGGCCAAAGCCTTGCCTGCTCTATTATCTTGGCTGTAGGTGCGTATGCGTAGTTGTCATAGGGTGTGTGTGCTTATGGCAAAGAGGAAGCTACTTTGTTTTTTGTTGGTTTGGGCTATCTCAAGCTGGCCCGCATCTGTCAGTTGAATTAGCTGTGCGTTGGTTTGGTCCTGGAGCGTTTTCAGGAGCGTGGTGTATTCCTGTTGTGAGGCGTGCTTATGGAGGTGCCACGGAGCTCTGCCCCTATGAGGGAATGAATCTTTAAGTGTGAGGGTGACTGGGGCATGATTGGTTCAGAGTAGGTCCCCGATGTGGCATCTGTCAGAGAGGGTAGAAGGTTTACAGCTACAAGGATGTAATCTATCCTTGAGTGCATTTTGTTAACTGGAGAGAAGTACGTATATTCTCGATAATTTGGGTGTCTGATCGGCCAGGTATCATATATTCAAGGAGCAATTTGATTAGCGCTTTACAGTGTGGTACTAGAGACGCATGTCTCAGGGTTTTTTGTGGGACAGTTGTGTCCAGTTGTGAGTGTATTACACGGTTTAAGTCATCACATAGTATCAGGTTTGGCAGTTGTGGGGTGGGTTTTTTGGAAAGTACTCGATGTAGGAAATTCCATTGGTTAGTGTTTGTACAGTGGTTAGCATGTACGACACATTGTTTATGATATAGTGTAGGATAATGTACCTACCTTGAGCGTCCTTTTTAAGCTGTAACAATTCAAATGTGAGGGAATTGTGTAGCAGTATAGAAACGTCCCTGGACTTACAGGTGTGGGTGGAGTGATATTCGTATGGATAGTCACGTAGTGCAAAGTTTGGCACCCTATTATGTACAAAATGGGTTTCCTGGACACACAGGAAATCTATTTTGCCTTTTTTCGCACTGTTCAGTAGAACCCGCCTCTTGGGCGGCGTGTTTAACCCGTGTGTATTAATAGTGTGCATTCTCATAAATTGTGGATGAAAAGTTATGCTGGTAGTAGCAGCGCACGTGGCAGATAATGAGTGTAGTCAAATGACTCTTGGAGTTTGTAGCATGGTGGGGGGAGAGAACTTGGAAGAGGAGAAGGGTGTTGTTGAGTGGTTAAACTAGGGTAGACATATATACAGTATTCCCCTAAGGGGAAGCAACGTAGAATCCCATTGTGTGGCTAATGGGCTCCGAAATCAGAGCTCTATGCTTTGAAACAGAACTTAGTGAAAGGGCCGTTTGTGAGCATATGCATGAAGCAAGCCTCATGGTCGTAGGACCCGGTGGGCACGGTCCACCAGCAGCATGTTTGAATAAGAAAATCTCAGGCACTCACTGCGATTGCTTCCAGGCAGATTTATCGCAACGTTTCAACCTGTTAAGGTCTTTATCAAGCTAACACCACAGTGACAGAATTGCACTTGTATACACACAAAATACAAACAATCAATTAGGCAATTACAAATTTCATTAGAGACACATGTGTTAAAAATAATTCAATCAATATATCAAATCAATATATCAGAACTTTAAAAAAACATGGTAAGGAATAAGTAAGTAAATGGCTAACAGAATTAATAAAAGAGGTCCAGTTAGCGCCGATTTTCGGGCCCTGAAGCGGGAGCTCAGAGAGAGCACATCTGATCCCATCGGCGGTCAGGCCCTGCCACCCTCGCATCCCTTTTTGTGTGGAATAATTGTGTAAAGGGATTGTACATCGCAAGTCACCAGGATATAGTTAGGGTACCATGTAAAATCCTTTAAAAAACGCAGAAGGGATATGGAATCTTTTAAATATGATTTAAATATGATTTCAAATTCTTTACAGAACGTTGGAGTAAAATGTCAATATATTCTGATAAGTTAGATAAAATAGAGTTGATCCCTGAAACAATTGGGCGACCCGGGGGCCAGGATTATTTTTTGTGTATCTTGGGTAAAAAGTAAATAACCAGAATTTTCAAATGCATTTTGTTTAGATAATTATATTCTTGTTTGTTGAGAATATTGATATTGCTTCCTTTGGTTAAATAATTGTTTAAAAACATTTTTATTTATGGGATTAGGGTCATTAGTTATTTTTTTCATATACATTTGTATAATTTAATTGATAATTTAATTGATTTAATCTTAGTGCTTCCTTTATATACATTTTTTTTAAAGACTAACAATAGCATTATACAGTAAACATATAAAGTGTATAAGAGCTTTTCTAGTCCAACCCACATGATCCTGAGTCACTTAAAATAAGCTGGCTCAGACTAGAAGCTTAATTTGGAGGACCAAGTGAATGCAGGAAGTGGGTCTAGGTGGTTCTTTGTCCCTTCGTCTTACATCATGTACAAATCCAGGATGCAGGAAATTAGGTGAAGGTAAAAATACTTTATTGGACAAATAAATATAAGTAAAAATCAGACCTACAAAGTCCACTTTACTCATTTTGGCTAAGTGCCTTCCTCAGAAGTGGATTGCTCCGGTTGTCCTCCATAGTCCGTCTTTTAAATCTTTAAAGTCACGCCCTTTCACAGCTCTTACCAATATTGCCGGTCTGTTTCCGCATTCGTCATCAGACGTGACTGGCTATTCACACTATTTGGTTGACGCCATCAGATTGCGTCGGGACACCCTACGTTTATCGGCATCCTTGCATCCCGACATGATTACCATAGTAGTTGTTGTATCCTCCGAGCTGTGGGTGTCATACACATGCCCAGACATGGGCGGCGAACTAGTGCCATTTTTTTGGAGTCTCTCATATATAATAGTATATACCTGTCAGGACCTGCTCTGTCCTGTTCAGAGGTCTGACCATGGCTTCTGGTATCCAGTACTCTCTTTACAAGTCTTGTTTAGTTTCTCTTGGTTTTTCTGGTTTTCTATTCTGTGTCTGGTTTTCTTTATGCTGTGTTTTCTGGGTTCATTCCTGTATTCCATTCCTGGAATTCCAAGTGTCTTGTATTCCTTTAAATGTTTATTTTTGTTGCCACACCCGTTCCTTTGCTATTAACCCTTTTGTTTCAGTTGGTTCCTGCAGGCAGTTGATTCAAGCCCTCTGTCCCTTTCTTGCAGGTAAGTGTTGTGTTTGTTTTATTATTGTTTATTTAGTCATGCATATCTAGGCAGATAGGACCCACCGTAATTGGAGTACTTTGGCGCAGTGGTGGGCTGCATACATCTTGTCCATTTATGTATGTCTAAATCTCCAATGTTTTACATATATAATATTTAGTTTTGTCTCCTCTTGTTTTGCCTGATATATCTTGTCTTGTTTTATTTTGTATTCCCAGTCCATGTACAGTCCTGTCCTGTCCTGCCCCTGTCTGTTAATATTTTCCTTATGTATTGTGTACATGTTCTGGGTTTTGCTTTCTATCCTTTTCTGGTTCTGGGTTCTACTATTTTTTTCTTGTTTTCTTGTTTTGTGCCTATTCTTACCTTGTTTCTATATAACCAATATTGCACTATTGGTTTCCTATGTTTTCTCTTACATATGCTGCTGTTGTGTGAAGTCACTCCATAGACGTCTTTTGAACACTTGAGGACTTGTATACCTAAAAAGACTTTTTTTTTGTACCTTTGCCTTTTTTATTTCATATTTTATATACTTTTACTGCGATTTTAGTTATTTATTGGTTTTATTTGGTGCTTCCTGTATCCAGGACAAGTGTCAAAGGTAAGAATATGGACAGGAAGTGGCGCGCAGAGGAGCATTGTTTATCTACTTCAAGCTAGAGACTGGGTAATAGTGGTATTGTACTAGTTTTCCAAGCCCTTGCTATGAGCCGTTGAGCCGTGAGCACCATATGTATAAGTTTTTTTGTGGTATGGTTTTGCCTTTGATAAATTAATTAGGAGATAAGTCTAGGGTGAGAAAGATATTGGGTGTCTCAAATTTCTTGTTACAAATTGATGCACAACTTTCCAAAAGGTTGTAAGGTTCACACAGTGCCCCTCCTCACTTTCACAGTGCCAATAAATGGAGGAGGTATGGGGAAACATTTTATGCAACCTACTTGGTACCATATACCAAAGATACAGTCTTTTGTAGTGCAGTTCACCAGGGTGGCTGATTTTAGAATTTTCTTATTCAAGTGAAAAATGTATTTCCACTGTCTTTGGGATAGTTTACACTTTAACTCTGAACGTCATTGCTTCACTGGGTTAGACTCAGAGAATAATTTGTGATCTTAAATTAGTTTGTAGCACATGGACATCAGTTTACATAGAGGAGGTATAACTATTTATACAAAATTGTTACCCTTTGATTATTGTAGATGTCAAGACTACATAACTTTTATCCAAACGAAACTTGACATCTAATTGATGTCTTATGAATATGTTGGTTAAAGACCAAGTAGCTGCTCTACATATCAGTTCTGGAGATACTTTTGCAGCCCAAAAAGAGGAGAGACCTAGTGGAATGGGTTTTCAATCCCTCTGGCACTGGAACTCCTGAGCCCTGATAGGCTGATATAATAGCTAAAACAATCCATCTTCTAATGGTTGCTTTAGATGCCATAGTACCTCTCTTAGCTCTGTTAGGAATAACAAAGAATCTTTGAGAGGAACGCCAGGAAGCAGTTCTATTTCCATAAATCTTGAGACATCTTACCAGATCTAGTGGAGAGAGATCTGAGGCTCCATTATCAGATAGAGATTCTGAATGCAATTCCAGAAGAACAATTCCGATAATATAAAAAGAGGAGGTTATCTTAGGTCGTAACTCAGGAACATGCGTAAAATGACTCTATCCTTGTAGAAAATTGTGAAGAGCTCTTTGAATTAAAAGGCATGAAGTTCAGATAAAGAGACATGTACCAGTAAATACACCTCCCCAGTGTGGTCACAAAAAATGGGTAATATTACCAGTACAAAGCTTGATAGTATTGCAACAGAGCGTAGAGTTCAATTAGAAATATACACTGTAACGGACCGTTTTGCACACAAGGGGTTAAAACCGTTTAGGCGATCGTCCCCTTCCAGAGATGCAGGCACAGCTACTGCAGAACACCAATCCGCCGAACAGGAAACCATACGAATGCTGTAAACAGCCGAGTAGGAAAAATCATACGAATAGGTTTACACTCCTAGCAGTCGAACTGGAACAGCATACAATAAATCCCCCCAAGAACGAGACAAAGCTCCGCGTTGAGGGTCAAGCAGTGAACAGGCAGAGCTGTGGGTTTATTGTGCTTATGTACACATTCTTACACATTAGTACCTCCCACAGGGTTTTGGAACACAGCCAATAAACACATACAATACACTCAGACACTCCCACACAAATTCCTCCCCTCTGCTTGTGATTCAATTACCTTACACAATGGGTAATGTAATTTAGCACAAGCAGAGAAATACAATTTGTCCACATTATTCATAACTTGAAAATTATGCATCACATTCACATAAACACTTACATTTTCAGAATCAGCATACTCCAAATACAAACATACGTCAAAATCATACAAATTGGTCCAGTGGTTCAAAAGATAGATCGTAGTCCTTTGTGACCAAATGAAGCATGGCTTTTCTGCCAAAACCAGTTCCACAGAGTCTTCTATCCTGGAGATAATTGGGAAGTAATCCAATTATCTCCAAGGACAGAGGCAAAACTCCATTAAGCACATGGCAGCAAAAGACAGTAAAACACATAAAAACATATAACTGTGCAGCCATTGCACAAAACAGGTACATTCAACATATCCCCATATAGCTCAGATCTGAGCGCACATTATTACTGAATGGTGCTCAGAGCACACACATACAGTTCAATTGCCATGGAGCCAAAGTCTTTCCCATAGTCTTTCATTATACGAATGGGTTCCATGGCATAGCTATCTGGGGTATCACTGCTCAAACAGGGCAAGCACCAAATGACCCAGCTTTCTTGTCTTTGCAGGGGAAAATCAAGCCTTTTAACATGGGGCCATAATCCCAAGGCAACAGGCGAGCCACCCGGCTTCTCCAATGCAATGTGGCGAGATTGGTCTCGTCACATACACTAAAACAAGAAAAAGATAAAAAACAGCATAGTGCAAACTGTATAGTGACTAATGAATAATAGATGAATGTATGACTTTCACTCACATTATCCAGAGCCATCCCAGGCTCTGTAAATCAGGCTCAAGGGTGCCAAATATTGGTTAACGATCCAAATAATTCAGGTAGATGAGACTCCAAATGAAAGTATAAAATATATTTATTGTAAAAAAATATATATAGTTAAAAATGTATCTTGGCCAGGCAGGATTTGCAGGGATAAAAACCTTTTTCTAGACCAAAAAAGTTTTTTGTTTCCACTTTGTCCTTAATGAAACTAGTGGTTTGATGTTGCTTTAAATTTTTTGCTCCTCTATAGATAATACGTGGTTTATCACCAATAATTTCTTTCAAATTAGGATCTGATTTAAGGATACGCCAATGTCTGTTAATAAAATGCTTGATTTGTTTGGCATCTTCACTATAATTAAGAATAATTGGTACTTGGTCAGCACGCTTCCTCTCCTCACTAGACATATTTTTATTCAAAATCTTGCTTCGATCCAAGGACAAAGTGGAAACAAAAAACTTTTTGGGTCTAGAAAAAGGTTTTTATCCCTGCAAATCCTGCCTGGCCTGTAAGAAAACCTTATTTGGCAAACATAAACAGACAGAATTTACCTCTTATTCTACTAATCGTAAATTTAAGATTCATCAAGTTCTAACTTGTAATTCCACTAATGTCATATACCTACTCTGGTGCCCATGTGGTCTGCAGTACATTGGAATGACCACAAGAGCTTTCAAAACCAGGGTTGCGGAACATGTGGGGAATATCCAGAGGGGGTATATGAAGCATAGTGTATCTGCACACTTCACTGAAAAACATGGTGGTGATTCTTCGTTGTTATCGTATGCTGTTATAGTTAAGAAATTAAAAAATTGGAGAGGCGATAATAATGTTAAGGAGTTGGCTAAGATAGAGGGCAAGTGGATCTTCGATGTAAATACCTTGTCCCCTAACGGATTGAATTTAGATTTTGAGTTTATTCATTTTTTATGATTTATTATTTCTATTTTCAATATATATATTTATTTGTTTATTAAGCCACTGGAGGTTCCACTTGCTCTCTGTTTAGCTGTCCCCTATATGTGGGAATTATCTGTGGTTACACAATGTTGTGTTTAAATATATCTGCACTAATGGCTTCTTATTAATATATTGCTCTATATACCTTTAAATTCCTCTTTTGAGAAATTGATAATCTGATCTAAATTTGCTCTCTGTCTAGCTGTCTCCTATATGTGGGAATTCTCTGTGGTTACACAATGCTGTGTTTTAATATATGTGCACTAATGGCTTCTTATTAATATATTGCTCTATATACCTTTAAATTTCTCTTTTGATAAATTGATAATCTGATCTAAATTAGCATTATGTATATATATGCTTATTTACTGTCCTATACTGATTAATCTTTGTTGCAAATATGGAGTGCAAGGTTGTCATGGGGACTTAATCACAACATTAGGAATTAATCTACATCCTGAACGCAGCGTTTCAGTGTGCGTTCCAGTCGGCATGCAAAACCGGAAGTGACGCGACGCCGGTACGAAATTGCAATCAGGTGAATGGTGAAGACAGGATTATATAAGAAGAATGAACAGGACATGAAGACAAGCACTGGAAGAAGGCTG